TGTATCTCAGGCACCCAGGCCATGTTGGTAGCATGGAGCTGGAACCAATGGTTGTAAGGTTGGAGTAGTGATGCTAATAGACTTCAAACTTGATACAGATCATGGTTCACACTGTTTTCAATGCCAGGATGCCTGTGTACATTCTCTGGAGATCATATTTGGATTCTGCTTCAAGTAGTTTCTGCTAGATGTGCTCCTTTTCCTTTTACATTCCAGCACTGGTGGAGTGTGTTTTTGGTAAGCATTATCCCCAACACACCATGCTTACCAGTGGTGTGGGGTGGAGAAAATTTCTGAGTATCCCGTTGAGGTTGTCAGGCTGATCAAGACAATGAACCAACCGCGTGAGTATCAGGCTCAATCAAGGAGGAAGACTTGGTGGACAAGAGGAGATGTGTGAGCCTTGCTAGTGAGCCTCACAGTAGAGGTGTAAGACTCAAATAGAATATTTGGTTTGGTAGGCTTGACTCGTCTGGCTTGACTCTTCACCCTGCTTGGCTGGGTCGCGCGCTTGGGGTACCAGTTCAGTCCAGGTTGTCTGCATACCTCCATCTCAATATCTTCCAAGTCTGTAAAACAAAAGAGTGAACACAATGGTTTGTAACATATAACTTATAATCATGTAAGTGGGGGGATGTATCTCAGGCACCCAGGCCATGTTGGTAGCATGGAGCTGGAACCAATGGTTGTAAGGTTGGAGTAGTGATGCTAATAGACTTCAAACTTGTACAGATCATGTTCACACTGTTTTCAATGCCAGATGCCTGTGTACATTCTCTGGAGATCATATGTGGATTCTGCTTCAAGTAGTTGTCTGCTAGTGTGCTCCTTTTCCTTTTTCATTCCCACTTGGTGGAGGTTGTGTTGGTGAAGCATTTCCCCAACAACCACCAGTGCTTACGTGGGTGGGTGGAAAAATTTCCTGATATCCCGTTGGATGGTTGTTAAGGCTGATCAAGACCAGATGAACCAACCGCGGAGTACTCAGGCTCAATCAAGGAGAAGATCCCTTGGTGGACAAGATGGAGATGTTGTGAGCCTTGCTAGTTGAGCCTCACAGTAGAGGTGTAAGACTCAAATAGAATATTTGGTTTTGGTAGGCTTGACTCGTCTGGCTTGACTCTTCACCCTGCTGGCTGGGTCGCGCGCTTTGGGGTACCAGTTCAGTCCAGGTTGTCTGCATACCTCCATCTCAATATCTTCCAAGTCTGTAAAACAAAAGAGTGAACACAATGGTTTGTAACATATAACTTATAATCATGTAAGTGGGGGGATGTATCTCAGGCACCCAGGCCATGTTGGTAGCATGGAGCTGGAACCAATGGTTGTAAGGTTGGAGTAGTGATGCTAATAGACTTCAAACTTGTACAGATCATGGTTCACACTGTTTTCAATGCCAGGATGCCTGTGTACATTCTCTGGAGATCATATGTGGATTCTGCTTCAAGTAGTTGTCTGCTAGATGTGCTCCTTTTCCTTTTACATTCCAGCACTGGTGGAGTGTTTTTGGTGAAGGCATTTCACCAACACAACACCAGTGCTTCCCCCCCCATGATCATTCGCAGGAAATCCTTTTCATCGGTGCCTTGATGACAACATCGAATTCCAAGGACTGTGTTCTTTCACGGAGTGAACCGGAGATTGCGGTAGTGTTACCGCACCTGCACCGCGTTTCTCACTATTTTCGACTTCCGAAGAAGTGTCATCCATAGTGAGCGCAGGGAGCAGTCGCCCCGCCTCGACTGCTGAAAGCAGTTCCGGCGGACGGGGCTGGTAATAAATTTGTCGCCCATGTGGGAGTGCTTGTGTGAAACACGCAAGATCCCAACGGAAGGTCAGGTCCCTTCGCTGATGGGAGTGGACCGTTTCGACTCTCATCGCGTGTAGCGGTGGCTGGTGGGCTTGGCCCAGCGATAGGCGGTAGCGTGGAATCACGTAGGAAAGCTACCAGAAAGTAGCTGTGGCAAGGCCGGTTGGTGTTAGAGTTGCGATCGGTGACTTGATCACAATTCTTCCAGAAACAGAGGAGGAACGAATATTCCCCTTTATCGAAAGGTGTAACCCCGAGCGAAACATCACCATGAGTAAGTGGCAAAAAGGGTCTGCCGTTTAATTCGATGGTGTCTCACTAGGGTAGATTCCTTTGTTTCTTCTGACAGACAACAACACCGGAAATGCCAATCCTGTGGTCATGATGGGCCGCGCCGCCCAGTCTCGGACCTTCTTCAACGCCGACGGAACCTTGAACGGGATCGGACGTGCCATGTGGACCACTTCAACGCAAACTCCCGTACCCTGGCATTGGCTGAGTCCAATCGTCGTCGGGCTCGATTCTTCTTTCGTCGTGAAGCTCGACGCATCCGCGCTCAAGTGTCTCGCGATGCAATCGCTCGCTACAACAACGCGCGTGCGTCAGTCCACCGGCTTATTCTCTGACACTCGAGTGGCAGTCCCGCCATACAGGCCGAAGTGGCCGAGAGACAGGCAGGTGAATGTCGTGCATCCTGAACGATTGGAGTCCCATCCTGTGCACCCAGCAGTGCTTTAACGTGGCAATGCCGACGTGGCCGCCATTCCTCCTTTGGCGCCCCCGGCCAACGCGGCGGGCAGAAGGAATGGCAACGCGCATACGCCAACATCGGCAATGGTCAACGCCAACGCAACAACAACAACCGGAGCTTCTTGAAGAGCTTAGACCGTCTGGTGTGGTTCCGCCGCAGTGTGTGATTGTCTGCGCGGTTGGCGAGATGCGACGAAGAACCGCTTGGCTTCTTAAGATGAGCTAGTAGTGGTGGAAGATCCTTTTGAGGATCAGAGATCTGAGCGTATTTGCACATATCTTTATTACACCTCTTTATTATCTTTCATCTCTCATCTATATCTTCTCTCTTTCCTCCCTCCCCCCACTTACATGATTATAAGTTATATGTTACAAACCATTGTGTTCACTCTTTTGTTTTACAGACTTGGAAGATATTGAGATGGAGGTATGCAGACAACCTGGACTGAACTGGTACCCGACGAACTTCATCTTTAAATCCGCATACATTGAAGGATTTAGTTCAAGTGGCGACTTTAAATCCGCGTACTGTAAATTCTAAAGTATTATTTTAATTTAAAAAATAAATGTAGTCTAGCCAGAGTGTGATCATCCTCGTGAGAAGCTTTAAGCCAGCGTCAAAAAGCTAATGGATTTACACGCAGTTGTGATGAGGCAAAATGATCGCCACCAACACTAAAACAATCGTACCTGTGGCTACATGTAGCTGGCTAGCTATGTATAGCGATTGCTTGCATACTACCGTATTACTAGATACATGTACCGGTAGTGCAAGGGGTTTTAGATTTTAGTAGAGCAGGTGGATTACATTTATTATGTAGAAGCCAGCGAGGGCCAGGCTTGAGCAAAGAAGAGTGGAAATTCACACTAGTAGCTAGCTAGCTAGGTAGCAAATCCGCCCCTGGCTTTTTGTGAAATTATACCACTACCAATTTACTAGCCATGGAGCTAGCATGCATAGTTTGTTGGGACGCTACACTGTACCGGTACCTCTACTTGATCTATGCATATACCTTAGACTAGTCTGGTTCAATTTCTTCTGCGATTTCAGGAATCAGGATCCACCATCCGCATGTACCGTACCTTTTCAGCAGGAAACAACTGACCGAGTGACAGTCTAGCTAGAACAACTGTAGAGGGGGTTTAGAGTAGGAGGATTATCTAGGAAGCCAGCCAGGGCCAAGCAAGTAGATTTTGCAAAATTCCTGTCTATTTTTAAACAGTTCCTGACCAAATGTTTATTATTATATATCTTATTGTTTATCACTATATATTCTTGTTGGCATACAATTCCTCCATACTCTTGAGCATGATTTTGACACGGTACTCCAATTTGGCATTGCGTTTCTTGAGTGCTTGATTCTCGGCCTTGACGGCTTCCATTTCTTTACTGGAAGCTCCTCCACCACTGGCACCACAGGTATTACTTTGGCTGACCATGGCCTCTCTAATTTCCTGAAATTTTGCCAGAAATTCCTGTTCCAGCTCCTTGACATCCTTTTGCGTGGCGTCAAACTTGGCCCCCACTTCCAAGGCTTCCACCCGCTTTTCCAATTCCGTCGCGTCCTGCAATAAGAAGCGGAAGAGTGAAGAAAGAATGTGAGACACTGCAAATGAAGAACCGAGCTCCTTTTTCAAACCAAAAACAGCGTTGCCATAGACCTCACTACGGTATCTGAAGCCTACTATAGGTCTTACCGTCATCTTAGTTCTGTCTTCGTATGGTAGAGATATAGTAATACTAGTAGCTAGTAGTCGTACAAAGACGAAAAGTGCCGACAACAGCTTTCGAGATTCGAGGTGACTGGTTCGATGTCTCGATCTTCGGTTATAAGCCAGCATAACCTTCTAATGTCCGACGCACACTCCTTCCTCGCAACGCACCGACGACACCTGCACACTTTTCAACGAATGACGACACAAAGAACCGCCAACGGCCAACGGCCAACCCAAAACCTCAGCTCTTCATCTCTCGCTCTCTCGATCTCGACCAAAGCTTCTCTCCCTTCAAGACACTTCAACCTGTCTCTTCATCTACAATAATAGCTCTGGTACTGTAATATATAATGAGCCAACGTGGTTATGTGGGTGGAAAGAAAGCCGGCAAAGACTTGTACAAGTTGTTGGAGATCCAGCAAGGCTCCACCCTTACCGAAATCAAGACGGCCTATAAGAAATTGGCGCTGAAATATCATCCCGATCGGAATCAAGGCGACGCCACGAAAACGCAGCGATTCAAAGACGTGAGTGAAGCGTACACGATCCTCAGTCATGACGGACGGCGACGCCAATACGATTTGCAACACGGATTTCGGTACAATCAAAATCGTCGCACGGCACCTCCCAAGAATTATCGCAAAGTCTATACACCCGTACGACCACCCAAGTCGGCACAATTCAATCACGATCGACATTACGAAATGCACTATGGAAGAGGCATGATGGATCAAGCGGTCCATGATGCTACGAAGCGACAGCAACAGAAAAATGGTAAGCAGACTATTAGTAACAGCAACGGCTACCATTCTCCACTAGGACAAGGATTTTCATTTGGCCACGGCGGCATTAATGACACGATGAATCCTTATTCGCGGGGATCGAGACAACGACAACAGCAACAACAGCAAGAGACGGTCTGGGAATACGAAGAAGGAACCGTGTTCGATGGAGATGCCGCCAAAGGAAACGTCCACCGACGAGAAGAAATCATTGCCGATCTCAATGGAAAACGAATACGACGAAAACAACAGCAACAGGCACAGGCGCAACAAGAAATGCAAAACAATCAATCGGCATTTCAAGCACAACAACAAGAAGCATGTCTCATTCAATAGAATAGAATGTATCTACTAGTATCTATCTATATATGAAAATGGATTATATAGACACCAGAATCAATCCATGGTTGCAAATTGCATTAATGCATTGGCGTCTCGCCTGACACGAGAATTCACACTCATGTCGATACTAGCTAGTAAATATTTATACATTTCTTTTTGTTTTTCTGACCAATCCAGTTCCTTGATCGTTTGTGCCTCGATCATTGCAGGAAGCTCCCGGAACGTACGGCTCGACTTGACTCGATCGAGGAAAGCCCACAACCAGAACAAGATATGTCGTGTCTACAATGACAACGAGGGGGTTTATTTATGAAGGCCTAATGCTGGTACAATGCTAACCTATCCCAGCTATATGCACACGGCCTCGCTATATAGCTAATATCCATAGTTATAGGCCCCGCTACCGGGAGCTCTTTGTGCCCTGCAATATACATGGACATGGACATGGACATGGACATGGACATGGACGCGTCGTTCCTGCTGCCACAGCTATATATTTCTATAGAGCCGCGACGTACGTTTCCCCGTAGGACGGGGTTACTACAGTGATCGGTTAGAGTGGACTTTTGATCAGCACGAGATACTCTTTGCCTCTAGCTAGAGAGTGCTATCGATAATAAAACAGGGCAAAGAACACAAATCTTAAATTATGTAGGAATAGAACGAAGAACTACAGATGCCATCTAGACAGGGACTTCGAGCTGCTCAATTGTGGAGGAAGTGTCTCGCTTGCTGCTGCTTTTATCTTCTTCATCATAACATGTCACTTCAACAGCACTTCTAAAGAAGAGCTTCCAGGGACCATGCTCTGAAGCAGGGACCACAGATCCAGCAGAGGCATAGCAACCTGGATGCAACACACCAGTCACTTGGGTGTCTTCTAGGGTGAGCCCATTGGCATCGATAAAGTGCCCACTCACATGGGAATCATCCACTATTGTGTTGCCCTGAAAGTGAAGCTTGCTGTACTCATAGAGGGAGTTGCCAAAGAACCAGAGCTCTCCTTTCACCGTTGCTCCCATCATGCGAGCATAGTAGGCGAACATGGGTGTGCCATAGAGAAGAAAGACCAGCCAGTTGCCTACTCCAAACTGCCAAATATGGTTGATGTATACTCCACAAAAGCTTTGCTGCAAAGGTCTTGGTAGATTCAGCATCACCACTTCAACAGCCTTGGTCAACAGAATCCAAACAAACAGCTGCAGGACAAAGGCCGCAGCCAATCCAACAGCCCTGATGGTAGAGGAGGAGCTAGTCAATACAGCAACACCAACCTCATAGGCAGGGATGAGACTGGCAAAAATGACAACATTAAGGAGCAGTTGCAGGACTTCTGGCAGGATCATGTCCATGATCAAACTGGGCTGCCATGACTTTCCTGCTTGGTTCAGCTCGGTAATGTTGTCCCTTACATCAGACCTGGGAGGAATTTTGGATTTGATGATCTTGACTCCTGTATGGAGGTTGGAATTGTAGCCAACACTGCTGTTGATGATCTCCATCTTGGAGTCGGCCTTCTGGTCCAGGTCAACAGTGCTAGTGGCCACAAAGGACTTGCGGATCTTGACAAAATCAACCTTGGAGGGGAAGAAGATTCTGTAGGGGTTGCTGATGCAAGATGCCATGTCAACATCGAGGCCATGGAGGAACAGGATGATATGCCAGAGCTTTGTCTGGCCAAAGAACGGAGTCTGAGACCAAGAAGCAATGCGGAAATGGAAGTCACACGCCCAGTTGGTTGCTTTGCGCCATAGTGAACCCTCATACTCATCTGATGGATTTCGTTTCCCAATGAAAAACCACTTGAGAGCAATGCTAGGGATGAGGGCAAGGAAGGATGTGGCCGGGAAGAGCACAAGCCAATGCAGAATGGTAGCATAACACCAAGAAGGCAAAATGACATTGAGGAAGGAATGAACCAGGTAAGAAAGTGCAAAGAAGTGGTATACTTCAATGATGGTCCAGGCTATTTTGAATGCATCCAAAAACACATCCTCCTGCCAGGATGGTTTCGCATGCTTGTAGGTCCCAGAGTTGTATGCTGGGATACCTTTGGTAAGGATTCCAGGTGGTAGTTCTGCACCCTCTTCCACAACAGACAGTTTTTCTACCTTGCTTCCATCACCAACAACAGAACCTGGGCTGACCATGCCAGATACATGGCTGTTCTTGCCAACAATGGTTGGTCTGAAGGCCAGCTTGGGGCATGTGTCAGTCTGAGAGAACTTCCTGCACCTGATGGGGTGTGCAATAGTGGCACTGTCTCCCACCCTAACCAAGTCACATTCACGGATGAAGGACTCAATCTTGGCAGTCCATGGCAGGTCTGCCCCAAGAAGCCAGTAAAAGATCCAAATGTACTTTGTTTCCACAATGAATGGCCCAACAAATGACTCCCAGATTTCCAAAAGCCTGTCCACAAACCACCATCGCAAGTAGTCCTTTGACAAGAGGTCAAACTGCTGGGGTCGATACTTGCCAATGACGGCCAACTTGGAGAGCACCACAGCAAGAGAGAATGATAGGAGGAAAAGAGGGAAGACCAGAGGCAGCACAAGCCAGAAGATTGGGCCATGACATTCTCCCTCTCCAGTTGAATCGCACTGCTCCATGGCCCAGGAAGTCAAGAAGTAGGATGGAGCAGCTGAAACCAACAGCAACAGAATGATTGTGACTGACCCCAGTGTTTGCAGGACACCAAGCACAGGTTTGGAGATCTTGGATCTTGATGTATTCCATTCGTACTCTTTGCTACCAACAGCATGCTTGGGGAAGCCTTGTGCCTCTGATGCCATCAGAAAGTTGGCAAGTTCTGATGGAGTAGGGTACAGCTGCTCAAAGTTGGAGGGAAGTGACACATGCAGTTCTTCCTCTACTTTGTTTCTGAGTTCTGCACTCTTGAGAGAGGTTATCCCATTCTCCATCCAAGTCTTGGATGCATCAATATCTGGCCCAAGGACAGCTGATAATACTGTGCTCCATCTCTTGGAAAAGTCATCTCCAAATCTGACAGTCTTCCCTTCTTTACGTTTTTCACATTTGATTGCTTCATCAAAAGGGTGATCGGCAGTTTCATCTTCATCCGGATCATCTTCAAGCAAAAACGCCTGGCTGTTACTAGCAACAGCAAAGCTCTCCCCAAGAGATGCATGTAGATATGCCTCAAATGGGGACATGTTGGTTTGCCGTTCATACTGGAGGAGTACAGAAGATCTTTTCCAGTCACCAGAAAGAGTAGTTTGCCGGATCAGAGCTCTCTTGAGCTTTCCAGATGTGGTCTTGGGGGTCACTCCAACCTTGAGAATAAGAACCTCACATACAGTTAGTCCATGCATTTGAGCAACATGATTGGATATCTTGACAGCAAGATCTTCATTCGCTGCCCTGTCAAAGTCCTTTCCAGCCTCAGCTGTGATTCCAACACCATCTTCTCCATGTTGGAAGGCTGTGGTTCTTCCAGGACGGATAGCATCCCCAAAAGAGTCATCAATGGAAAGCTCAACATCCGTTGGATAGTAGTTCTTGCCATTGATAATGATGACATCCTTGAGTCTTCCAGTGACATAGAGCTGTCCGTCAACAATCTTTCCCAAATCACCGGTGTGAAGCCAGCTCCCCTCATAATTTGGAAGCGCATTGCCAAATGTGTAGGCTGTTAGCTCTTTCTGGCCATAGTAGCCGGCAGCAACTCGGGGTGACTGGGCCCAGATACTCCCAACGGCGCCATCTTCCACCTCCTTCCCATCATCAACAATCCGGAGCTTGAGAGTTTGGGAGTCCACCTCGCCACAGGAGACTAGGCCCTCCTCATCAGAGTAACCGGGTCCACCTGTGAGGTATACTACGGATTCAGCAAGGCCATAGATGTTGTAGACATGTTCAGGCTATAAGTGTGTTTGCGATGCTTCCTTACACACATGGCTCTGGCAGGCTCACCACCAAACATGGCTCGCTTTACACAACTCCAATCGGCATTTCTATTTGCCTGCTTCAAACGCTTGAGGAGCAACGCATATGCAAAGTTGGGGGCACATGTATGTGTTGCCTGGTAGTTTTCAATCATGTCTGTCCACAGCAGAGGTCTTGCAATGAAGTCTAGAGGAGATGCCAGGACAAGGTGAAAGCCGCCATAAAGACAAGACATGAATCCTGCCACAAGTCCCATGTCTGGATAACGAATCCCAGCAAAGCTGAGAATTGGAACACATCATGAACTGCTCATCATGTTGCAAACTTACCATGGTATTGAGGGACCCACAGTGCTGCCACAGACGAGCAATTTGCATTTGTCATTTTGACTAAAGCCATGCAGTTTTCTGCTAGGTTCCGGTGACTGATCATGACTCCTTTGGGCCGGCCAGTGCTTCCAGATGTGTATTGGATAAAGCAGACATCATCTGGTTGGCCCACAAATGTTTCATGGCCTTTTGGCTTACCAAATATCTGTTTCTTATTTGGCAACTTGTCTGTGCCAATCCAGGTGACGCCAGTCTTGTAAAAGACCCCAGCAGCAGTCATGGCTGTGGCAAAGGTGTTAGTAGTCAGAGCGAACTTGGCTCCGGCATCCTCCACAAATCCGCGGAATTTGGGTATGTCTGTTTTGAGCTGATTAGGATTGGGTGGGTAGATGGAGCAGGGAATCACTGAGATCTTCATGGCCCCAAACATGCCAGCCAAGAACTCTAGACCAAATGGATAAGCAACCATGACACGATCTCCTTTTTGGCACCCCAACTTGAGGAGTCGAGCAGCCACAGCATTGGCCTCGTCTTCTAGCTGCCGGAAGGTCAGCTTTCTTTGCTCCTGGCACTTGATGTCCACCCAAGTATACACGACCTTGTCAGGAGTCACAGCTGAGTAGTGGGCCAAGGCTTCCAAAATGGTGGTAAAGAACTTCATTGTTCCTCCCTCTTGATTGCTTCCTTGTGGTTTGTTCCCTGTCTCACGGCCCAAATCTTCTATGACCGTTGAGATGAACTTCATTTTCTTGTCCTGTGGTTTGTGGCTTGTGTTGGAGTGGTGCTCACAAACAGATGGGGTGATGCTGGACTGGTGTAGTCAAGAACTTGATAGTCTGCAGCTTTCGACACAAGGTTGTTGTGAAAATGAGAGGTTGTGCTACGATCCGATGACTGCGAAACCAAGCTGGGAACCTACAGTTTTGTGAGCTTTTCGATGGGTTGAGAGGCTTGAGATCGAGGCTTCGCAACAGAACCTGGTTACAGGTACTCATCATGAACTGTAGTCGGAAACGAAACTCCCTCTTAACTAATTGGCTCTCTAGCTCTGGCCACTGACACTCTTAGAATTAACGGGCTGCTGAATCGCTTTCTGGCGTGATCTCGCATTGCACCTGTACCGGAAGAACTTTATTAGTGGTTGTTTATACTTGCATCCGATTTCAAGACTTCTTCTTCAAGACGTCTTGATTTAGCAGGTTTTTATGTTGTTACTTCCGCATAGATCTAGAGCTGTACAGAAATATCTATTGGGACAAGAGAGCTTGCAGAACCAAGTAACGCAGGACCAAAACCAAGTACTTATTCCTTACATGGTCATGTTGTACCAGGTACCATCGAGGCTGGAACAGGCCAAAGCGGAGGATGTTTGCTGGGTTGTACCCAGGGCGACTCTGCATTGCAATGTCATGTATTTTATCCACCACCAGGATGGGATTGGGCCTTTCGGATACCAAGAAACCGCATACGAGTACTGGGTACCGGTGAGCGCGTTTGTCCTACAGTATCCTATCTTGGCGTATTTATGGATTACCCAGCAGTACGTGTGTGTTTGGACTGGCATGCAGCCTTGGTGTCTGGGATCTTCAAGCAGGAGGAGCGGTGGAAGCACTCTGTTTGGATGGGGCTTCCCACGATTTTCCTCTTCCTTTTCTAGCTTCGCTCCTCATGCAGCCGAGCGTCTTGTTTTGGATGTTGAAGGCTGCTCAGCGAACGTATTGGTATGTGTGATTGGGCGACAAGGCAAACATACATGTATGGCCCATACTAGGCCTGAAACATCCTGTCTTTGATGGTTACACACCCGAGTACTTCAAGACATGCGGTATATTGATGTTAGCGCATACACTGGCAAGCTTTAGGCTATGGATGTCTACGGTGGCTTGAAAGGCCTTGAGACGTTGTGTTTTGCTGCCTGGGCTAGCTAGAAATCAAATCACACAGATGTCTTTATGCTGACAAGCAGCCTTGGAGGTACGAAGGGTGCGTCCTTTCAGCACAGGAGAGCGTGCATTTTGTCTTCAAGGTTATGTTTCCCGTGATCCAGACAGTGCGTGATTGGTGTATAGTTTGAGGCATGCATACTTTGGAAATGGGCGCCAAGCGATACCGGTATGTGATACGTGGGTTCCGTGACAGGAGAGGGAGAGTTCAAGGATTGCAAAGTGGTGGCTTCTATGCCTCCAAATCTTGGCAACCGGGACAGTGGTGGATTAGATTGAGCTCTATCCAAATGCCAAGCAGAAGTGGCAAGATGCGATGTGGGCCAAAATTGTGTTTCACGTTAGCCCTCAAATAGTTTGTTTTAGTTTCCACGTCCGCTAACCACGGTGCAACCTTTCTTCGATCTGAAACGGGGGTTTCCTCGTACGGACTGGCCCTCCCGTGCAGATTCATTTGACATTTCGAAAACTAGTTTTGGCCAAACCAAAATCAGAAGCGGTCATTTCAAACAGAAGTGGTCATTTCGCCAATCCTGCATTGAAAAGACTGGCTTGCACAAAGAAAAGATTGAAGAAAATAAAATGAATTTTATCACCATGGCAACAGAGTTGACCAAATGGCCATTAGCATTACCAATACATTGAGATAGCAAATCATTTTCTAGCATTAGCTCCCCAACACACTCACAGAGCCACCCCTCAAAAAGGATTTGCTATCTCCAAGGTTTCCTATGGAGCATCCAGGAAAAGTCAGGCTTGGATTCCATTTTGTTGTCATTCTGCCATGCATTTCTCCATGGGAAAGGTGCTCCAGTCCTCACTCTCAGCACCCAATCTGCACTGTAGAGTATAGTGGAGGAGTGGGTGGCTTTGCATGAAGTCTGGAGCACCCATCCACAAAGTTTCAAAGGAGAATTGTTGGCTCCAAGGTGGCAAAAATTGAGCATATTTCATATTGGTCAGTCGATCACTCAAAGCAGTAGTAGAGAAGCTGCCGCTTGTTGCATTAGTAGTACCAGTAACAGTAGCCGAAGAGCCATCCATCAATGTGTGGAAGAGGAAGCGATCCTCATGGTCACCCGTGAAAGAGGATATTTGGAAAAAGGAAGAAGACCCCAGAATTGATCCGTCGAATCGTCGAGCAATCCGTCGAACGATCGAACGGCTGCCGCTGCCACTACCAACCAAACGAGGGGAGCCTGTCATGGTGGTGAGTAGTAGCCTTTGTTGAGAGGAGTAGCCGCGGTAGAGGAGATAGCATCATCTTGATAGAGTCGAGTCTACTTCGAAAAATTGGATAGGAGTGGCTGAGAGCCATTGAAACTGGCCTCTAAGTCTTTTCGTGTAACCTTAAGTCTATTTGCCCAGATGTCGTAGTTCGGATTGCAATGTCCTAGCGGGACCGGGCATGCGTTTGCGTCAATAGCTTCGATACAGCCTGTACGAGATATGCGAGGTTTGGATTGCTTGCTTGCTTGCTTGTGATGCTAGCTAGTACGAAAGCCCTTTGGTGCGGTCGATCCAGGTAACCTTGTAAGTTTCGTCTACTGCCTTCCTATTCTCGTCATGGGCCCACTGTATATTGCACACAATACGATGGAAGCAATGTCTCGAATGCTGGTGCACTCGCTGTACCTGTTTGCCTCAATCGCAGGAGCGCACAACTCTGTTGAGGCAACTGTTTCTTGGCTTTCGACTTCGCTTTTCTGGGTTAGGATCAGTACCATACTAGTACCGACCTTTCTTCTTCTGAGTACCGGTATACGGCTCGTACTCGTCCACTATGGTACTTGGCGGAATATCGCGATCGATGTGTGATAGATCGACGTCTGAAAAACACGACTGATTAATAATTCGATTCCAGCCACAAGGGACTTTAGAAGTGCATGCAGCACATATTATATTGCCGCAACAAATAGCTCTTACAACACACTCACCCACAACACACCAAGGTATTGCTCATGACTTCCACAGCTGTTCGATCGGAAAAATCCTCCACAAGGCACGTTACGTTGAACGGGCCCAATGGCGACCCGATCAATCTCTGTTTGTCGGATCACGATTCCTTCCGCCTCCACTACCGAAATGGTTCCTTGGTCATGGAGATTCCGTTTGCTGGAACCGAAATTGAGTGGATGAAACTACCAGAAGATATGGATCTTGACTTGCGGAAAAATCCACTGGGAGATCAGGGGGCCGTGGCACTGGCTCAGGCCGTTCAGGACGTCGGAATCAGAAGTCTCGACTTTACCTGCTTCGATGATCGCTGCAAGATCACAGACCAAGGTGGTTTAGCCGTCGCAGAAGCCCTGCGAGGAGAGACGACAAGGCTGCAGGAACTCTGTTTCTCGCTGAACGCCATCACGGACGGGACCAGGGTCTCCTTGGCCAAAGCCTTGATAAAAAACTCATCTCTACGCAATCTCGACCTGTCTTCATGCTACAAAATCACCAAAGCAAAGGGAGCCATTGAGTTGGCCGGTGCGCTCAAAGTGAATACGACCCTCAGGCGCCTCGACCTTAGCAGCAACACAGTTGGCAATGACGGTGCCAGTGCTTTGGCAGAGGCACTCATGGTCAACAATTCTCTCACCAACCTCAATCTAAGTGGCTGTGGGATTGGAAACTTGGGAGTCGTTCGGCTCGCGGGGGCTCTGAGGCACAACAATACGCTAGGCTACCTGAGTTTGAGTGATCAGGATATTGGAGTCCCTGGAGGGATCTTTTTAGCCGAAGCCTTGAAAGTCAATGCCGAACTTGAAGAACTATGTCTAAGTGCATGCAAGATAGGCGACGAGGGCGCCGTGGCTTTGGCGGATGCCCTCAAGACTAACAAGAAGCTTCGACTTCTCCATCTTCATTCAAATGGAATTACAGACAGTGGAGCCTCCGCATTGGGGAGTGCGTTGAAATACAACTCTGCTCTTGAAAAGCTGGAGCTTGGTTTGAACCGGATAGGGGAGGCTGGGGCCATCAGTCTGGCCGGTGGTATCAAGGCAAACACCTCTCTCCAATCGCTGGGTCTCTGCCATAACCAGGCGGTTTTCCCGATCGGCAACGTCGGTGCGGCTGCGCTTGCCTCGGCCCTGCTCGTGAATCGATCGCTACGAGAGCTTACGATGGGCCACGTCTCTGTGGGAGACTTTGGGGTCCTTCAATTAGCGCAGGCTCTCCGGACGAATGGCTCCTTGACGAGCTTAAATGTAAACGGCGCTGACAAACTGAGCGGCGAAGCAATGTTCGCTCTGTCACAGGCGCTCGCGCAGAACGCCGCGTTGTGCGGCCTGGTGCTGAACCATAAGACGAGAATGGATTCTAACTTCTATCCACAAATCAAGAAGTGCCTGGAGCAAAACAAAAAGCGACAAGAGTTCAGGGATCTGCTTCAGAAATGGTTGGCTGCCGCAGACGATGAAACACAACGCAAAAGGATATTCCTCACGGAGATGGTGGCGGCGAAAGATGCATGCGCCAACCAGGATCTCCGGTTGGAATTCGTATACCTGCTGCTTCGATCAAGCCCGAACTCTTTCTGTGAGCGCCTTTGACCTTCCTTGGATAATAGTCTTGCTTCAGCTTGATTTGAGAAAACAGCATAATGGACATGTGGTTGGGTTTAATAAAGAAAACGGCTACAGTATAATATATTAGTTGTTGGTATGGATCACGTCTCCTTTGCTGTAGCTGTTGTTTGCTGGCCGTGGGCTCGACCGCCATGCCGCTTCCCCCTGTCTTTGCGTTGGTGGATGCGGTTGGTCTGTTTGTGTTTGTGTGATTACGCAAATGAGAGCAATGGTGCGGATTAGCGAATGGGCAGAGTGGATGGCGTGGCTTGTGCCAGGCTGTACTCTAGCATTCCTAGAACAGAGAAGCGTCATTCCTGTAGCCGTAGTAGTCATCGTTGGACCACATAACTGGGTTAATTTCCTCTTGAGCTGGCTCTGGGTAGAAGGTGTCAGGATTATCCAATCTTCGATTCACTTCTTCTGACATGGCCTGCAGGTTTGTGGCAAGTTGCTGTTTCTGTTGATCCATCTGGGAAGATTCGCTTTCGGCGTAGTTGGGTTGCTCCATTTGCCCAGCACCGCTGTCGAAAGATGGAGCTTGTCCCTGAGCTTCGGTCGCCCAAGAACTCTCTGCAGTTGAAGGATTATAGAACTCCGACGCTTGTGGCTCTTGTGCTTGCTGCATCGTCTCACCGTAATCGTAGGAGCCTTGTGGCTCTTGTGCTTGCTGCATCGTCTCTCCGTAATCGTAGGAACCTTGTGGCTCTTGTGCTTGCTGCATCGTCTCACCGTAATCGTAGGAGCCTTGTGGCTCTTGTGCTTGCTGCATCGTCTCGCCGTAATCGTAGGAACCTTGTGCCCCCGCTTCTGGCTCGATTGAAGGGTTGGGGGTGTTGGCGTGGAACCTCTCCCACAGAGAATCCGCATACGATTCACTGGTGCTGGGAGCTTCGACTGCCGGTTCTGGGGCAGCTGGAACCGTCATGGCTCTGTTCCACATTTGATCAGCAGCTGATGGTGTTTCTTCTTGTGGCACGCTCTGCTCTGGCTGCGGTGTGCCTGATGGCATTGCCGGTGGGACGTTCATGAATCTGTTCCACATCTGGTCAGCATGAGATGGAGCTTGCTGCTGCTGCGATGACGACAAGTCCTGCTGTGCTTGTGGCTGCGACTGCGGCGGGGAAAGAAATCGGTTCCACATTTGATCTGCATAGGTTGCTTGCGGTGGCTGCTGCTGCTGCTGCTCCACGGCAGGTTCGCTATTCAGAACGGAAGCAACTCCTGCTGCCGCAGCGGCATCGGGATCCACAGTGCTACTCTGTTGCTCGGTTTGTGTTGTTGCCATCTGCTGTCCATCCTGTTCGGCACGCCATTTCAGATAGTCGTCGTAGTTGGTTGGAGCTTCTTCTCCAGCGGACACTGATTGGGTCGCTTCTTCTTCTTGCGGTGCCTGCTGTTGTGCTTGTACCTGCGGTTGTGCTTGCTGCTGCTGCTGTGGAGCTTGTACCTGCGGTTGAGCTTGCTGTTGCTGCTGCTGTTGTTGCTCCGACCAAGGTGCACTCACGCGATCCATGTACTGCGCCATGATATTCTTTTCGGGCGTCAATTCGCGCACTTTATCCTCATTAATCCACTCGGAGTAGGCATTGGGAATGGCCGAGTTGGCCAGATACGTGGCAGCTGCTTCGGCGTTGCGAAGAGGCTCGGCATTGTTGGACAATAGATACGCCGTGGCCGCCGTGACGGGCAAGGAATATTCCACCGTTCGTACCGCGGCCTTGTTGAGCGCCACTCGCTGTTTTTGATTCAATGCGTTTTGCCAAATGTACTCGAGTGGTCCCACATTGTCGTCTGTGTTTTCGGGCAGCAGTTGCTCTTGGTCGTCGTATGATGCACTCGAAGAAGCAAAGCTGTTTCGTGGCGGTTCCGAGCTGGGTGGTGCTGGGTCAAAGCTATTAACCGCGTCACCACCAGTATTGCTTTCAAAGCTGTACTGGCTGTTGGTGGTGCTTTGTGCATATGGTTGTCCAAAACCAGCAGGGCTCGATTGCTGAGTCATCGTCGTCGTGGTGTCCGCCGCATCGGTTGGACTGTCCCGGTTGGTAGGCATGAGATTCGAAAAGGAGAACCCGTTACTTTCTGCTTTTGGTTCCTCTGATTGCTCGGATGCACTGCTAGACTCAGCGTTGTTATTGTTGGTTGTTTCGGTGGAAGATGACTTCATGGTTGCCATAAATGGTGGCGTGGCACTTCTACCAGCATTAAGCTTGTTGGTTGTTTCGGTTGCCATCGGCTTGGCAGCATCCACCTTGGGTGGGGTAAATGTGCTGGGTGGTGGTGACGATGATGGCTGCTTATTATTGGCAAAGGCGGAAGTGGATGCCGCCGCCCGTTGTCCAAACCAAGGAATGTTGCCATTGGCAGCATCAATGACGACATCGTTCTGCTTTGCTGTCTTGCTTTCGTCGTCATTGTTGTTGCCGTTGCGAGACCCAGCCTGTTTCATTCGTGCGGCAAGATCATTATTATTGCCGTTGTTGCGTGGACCTCCTCCCATGGATGGTGGCATATTATTATTGCCAGGACTGTTTCCAAAGGGTGGACTTGTTGTTGCTGTTGTTGTCGCAGCGTTTTGCAGTGCAGGTGTTGCAGCACTGTTCATGTTGTTGAATGGGGGGCCGGTGTTCTTTGGGGGAAAGGGCCGTGTGTTGGATGGTGGCTTGAAACTACTAGGCTTATTGCTGTTGTTGTTGTTGTTGTTGTTGTTGTCCATGACCGCTTCAATGGCAGCCATTGCCTTGTTTTCGGCTGCTTCTGTTTCCGTGGCACCATAAAATGGCTTATTGTCATTGTTGTTCGATGTCGATGGCGGAAACGGTTTGAATGGCGACATTGGCTTCTCTTGTGTCTTTTCCTCACTGGTAGACAGTGCTTGTACCAGTTCTGGCTGTTGTTGGGCTTTTCCTTGTTCCTTAGGTTTCTGCCAGGGTGGGGTATTGCTGTTACCGTTGCCACCGTTATTGAACGGAGGAAAGCTTGGCTTATCATTATTATTGAATGGACTTGTGGAGGTGCTTGTCTCTTGTGTTCCTCTTGCAGCGGCCAATTCAGCATCTAGAGCCGCCTGCGCTTGTGCCACTTGTTCCGGAGTGGCAGTTCCCACGGCGGGCACAAAGGCATTGTTGCTCTGCTGCTGCTGCTGCTGCACGGCTGCCTCAAACTCGGCTTGAAGAGCCGCTTCTGCCGCTGCCACTTGTTCGGGAGACGCGTTAAAGGGTGTTGGTTGCTGCTGCGGCCATGGGCTGTTGTTGCTGTTGTCGTTATTGTAATTGTTGTTGTTCATGGATAACTCGTGTACTGATGCCCCATGGTTCTTACTGTTAGCATTGCGGCAACCGAGAAAGGGAACGCCAAAGGCATCCGCTTGCCATGGACTTAACAGGAGACACCATCCAACCAACGCATGCTTGCTCAGAGAGAGGGGAGCCATGGTCAAGGATAAAAGCACTTGTAACTCAGATCAATGGATGCAATAGAGTTGATAATATGATGTAGTAGGTAGTATGTGGTGATGGGAATTTCCTACTAGCATAGCGCTGGACAACAACGCGTGGCTTTTTTCTCTTTCTCATCTTTCTCGATCTTTGTCTTCTCAATTGTCATTCGACGACGGCAGGATGACGTGGATCAAATAGTTGCAGTTTACGTGTTCTTTCTGACGTTCCGACGTCAGGTTTTGAATAACGGAGGTGTGTCCGGCAAATTCAATCCTGGATACTCGTGACCGTCTCGTACGGTTCCACAGTACCTGGTACCAGGTACCGGTACCAGCTAGTACTGCAAGGTCAGGAACCAGACTGCAATCCTTTTTTGACAGTTTCTCAAATGAGAAATTAGTTTCTCATTTGAGAAACTAAGTTCTGAAATGAGAAAGTTAGTTTCTCATTTGTTTGAAATGAGAAACTATCTTTTGAAATGAGAAACTATATATGAAACTGCTAGTACATGTGTTGTGATTTCTGCCAGAAATGAGAAACTATTTTATCAAATGAGAAACTATAACTGTTAGTTTCTCAATTTGAGAAACTAAAAATGAGAAACTAAAACTAAAAATGAGAAACTAAAACTGTTTGAAAAATTTCAAAACATCATTGGGGTTTCGGGACCTTGCTGGTATGTCCAGGCAGACTGGTTCCGGGAACATAAAACGAGCTCCCAACTCCACCGGTGCTACTCTAGCTAGACTATCATAGCTGCTCTACTAGTGTAAGAACAAATCCACTCTCCTCTTTGTGCGAAAATGTCAATCAAGTAACCCCAACGGTATTTGTTCAGACTGGAGATATTATAGGACTGGCTGGCTGGAGAGTTATTCAATAGAGCTGGAAATTGGACTGGAGCGAGTTAAAAAGCTTTGTTCCACACGGTACTGTAGCAGGGCTCCGATAGGCAATTCACAGATCGGCCGCTGATGGCCCAGCAGAGAACAAACAAAACAACAAATAGCTAGAAATGAGTTGTGTTTTCTGTGCAGAACTAAAGAAAACCGAGCGAGACATAGTGCTATTGCTTAGTCTAAAAATAGTACCCTTCGTGCTCTTCAAACTTCGCCACCTTGACTGCCACAGCCTGGTACTGTACATGTACCATGATTTCAATAAGTGCTGCCAGAGCCCTCAACCGCTTTAATTGTTTTTCCTGCTACGTATACGGTGGTCCCTGCAGGTATAAGGATAGGGTTAGAATACAAATAAGCCAGCAAAAACTAAATAAGTATCCTAGGATGGTGCTTTTAGAAACCAGCTAAAGCTATTTACATGCATCCTAGTAGGGGGATCTGCTTCTAACAGGAAAAACTCTGAAACCAGAGAAACCTATATAACTAGTATTCTACCTAGCTAGGGGTATCTGCTTCTAGCTTGCTATGGGAATCTGCTTCTAGCTAGGGGGAATCTGCTTCTAGCTAGCTAAGCGCAAGTTAAGCACTAGCTAAGCACTAGAGGTATCTGCTTCTAGCTAGCTGGCTAATAGGGGTATCTGGTTCTACACTGAAACCTTTCTGCCGAGGTTACACAGCTCCGCTGGCTTATCAGTTCTGAACCGGAGAAGCTCCACTTGACTGAAGAGGCTTGAGCTGTTGATGATACATGTATGTACCGGGTGGTACCGGTAACCGGTACTGGTACTCGTACCGGAGCACCAGGTCCTGTGCATACATGAAGTGCAACTTGAATAGCTGAGCTGATGGTGCGACGTGGTATGAGAGGATCAATGTAAACCTTAACCTTTGTAACTTCAATGGTTCTGTTTATCGACAAGTCATCCTATTTCTATTTTCTTGGAAGGAGAAACTGTTACTTATGAATTTACATGACTGTCTTAATTACGCAGGTGAAATGTTTCTACTCTTCTTACACAGTAATAAGGCGGCAAATGCATTGAGCAACTGAGAGGAAACTGCAACCCAAAGCAAGCACAGAAGTCCTCTACTCTCGGGACGAAATAGGTCTAGGGAAATACCAAGAAGGGTGTGGAGAGCCCATCATGCAGGCAGTCAGACCACCGAGGTAAAGGCGTTGAGAGCTCAGGTATACGTAGTAAGACTGCCAAGGATAATTCCTTTGTCTGCAAAAGGGCTAGCTTGAGTTGAGCCAAGAATTTGTTGGTGTTGGAAAAGGTCTGATGGCAGGATGACTTAAGAAGATTTTGCCCACAGTCGCTCGTGCATGTCGGCTTGAAACTCGGGAGAAGCATGAAGCGGTGGTTGTTGTGGCCATGGGCTGTTGTTGGTGCCGGTATTGTCGTTAAGGTTGTTCATGGATAGCTCGTGTACATGTACGTCGCTACTACCAGTAGTGCGACGGCTGAACCCGAGAAAGGGAATCCCAACGGGAAAAGCGTCCGCTTGCAATTGACAACTACCGAGACTCAGGATTGCACCCAACAAGAGACACCAGCCAACCAAAGCATGCTTGTTCAAAGACAGAGTAGGAGCCATCGTCAAAGAAACGCCTCCAGTATCAGGTAATTGTGATGAAAGCAACTCCCTTGCTCTATCTTTCATCTATCTTTCCTATCCAGTGCTCTTCTCTATTCTCATTCGACAATGAGACCATCGACTGCTTGACGTGGAACAAAAACAGGTTGCAGTTTGCGTGTCCGCGTGCTGACGTTACCCAAAGAGCAAAGGTGCGTCTGACTATTGATACTTAATGTTGGAGGTCAGTAAGAAACGAAGGAAACAGATACATAATCGGCTTATTTAATGAGGAGATGAAGAGGAAGTGCCATTATAGCTACAGTACTATACTGAGTACTCGAGTATCTAGTACGCTGTATCATAATGTCTGGGAAGCAGCAATCTCCAATTATCATCCAGGTGTGATGCCATTGCACGAAGAAAGGGGTTTTGGTATCATCTAAAGAAGTAGGGAAGTTATCTGCGTCGTCGCATTGCAACGCTCCATCCCATGCAGTCACGTCTAACACCACTAGCTAGCTAGAAGCAAGATGGACGATACTGCCAAACGTACGGGTACTATTGATAGCAAAGAAGAGGTGAAGACCAGGACTACCGGTATTGCTGAAGAAGCCACCGTCAAAAGTTCTGATGCCAATGAGCTTAATCCTCAATCACAACCAACACAACGTGAGCCAGTGGGTACAACCACAACAGGACCTAACCCCAGTCTTGATGGTTCGGAGAGCAACAACTCTATGGGCATGGTTGGAAAGAGGCTCATTCTTGCACAAGAGCTAGCTGGTCAACCCCAACCACAAACAAAACCAACACCACCTGGGCCAGTACCATCCTCCAAAAGAACTGATCCCGCCAATTGTAAGACAGCAAACAAAACTACTACTGGTAGTATAGCCAAAACCGCAGAAGGCCATCATCCCAGTCTTGACATGTCGGACAGCAACAACTCCTTGATCGGCATGACTGGAAAGAGACTCATTCTAGAACAAGAGTTAGCTGATGCAGTTAATGCAGCGAATGTAATGACTGGTGCAATGACTAGGCATGTGGATAATGCAGGAGCAAGCCCACTGGAACCCCCTCAACTTACAAGACAGGACGATGTGCAACAGAATCAACAGGTTCTGCCAGGAGCAGTAGCGGTACCAGGGGTTGGAGAAAGGCAATTTGGATCCTCATCAGTACCCAGCATTTCAGATCGGGAACAGCAAGATTTTGTTATTGGCAATCATCATGACAATCACAATGTGGGCCTGGTGGAAGCAGAGTCAGTGGACGACCTGGAGCAGCCCAACGCCATAGCTCTTCCTGCCATTGATAGCACCAACACCAGACAGTCCATTACTCAGAAGTATCAGCTACGATTTGCAGGTTTTGCAATCACTCTATTGCTCATAGGAGGGATCATTATTGGCTCTATTTGTGGGGCTGGATTGTGTAAGGCTGATGATTCAGCTCAGCCTACAAGGATGACAGAGAGGGACACCCTTCAGGCTCCCAAGATGAAATCAGTCCTAACTGAAATGTTGGGAGATGGTTACTTTGATCAAGTAGTGGGAGAATCCGATGATGATTTGGATGCTGACCTTTCTCACGTCTTTGTGGAAACAAGGCAGAGAGCATTCGATTGGATTGTCAATCATGATCCAATGCAGTTGGGATTTGATGCTCCCAATTTGGTTCAACGATTTGTTCTGGTGCTCTTCTACTATCAGACAACAAGGCACACGCCATGGAGAGAGTGCAACCCAACAGTAACTGGCCAAGAGAGTGCATCAGTTAATTTCTGCTATGAACCTGATCGTTTTTCTGGCGAGATAACCTCAACCATCTGGGGGAATCAGTGGCTCTCTGACAGTCATGAATGCCAGTGGGCTGGAGTGACCTGTGAGACTGTAGAGTCAAAAGAAAAGATAGTTGTTGGGATACACATTGGTGAGTCAGAAAAGGCGAAGATGCATTTGCATTGCGTCATTATCTTCTTACAGAATATGTTCTATTATTGTCCTTCAGCACGGAATGGTCTCAATGGCCCTCTTCCCTCGGAGGTTGTACAGCTACCACAGTTCAAACAACTTGATTTGTACTCAAATGTGCTGACAGGAACATTGCCACCAAAGTTCTTTTCCAACCAAGCAGGCCTTACCCTGGAAAATCTTTTTCTGGGCGCGAATCAATTCTCTGGAACTCTTCCTTCGGAATGGTTTGTAAACATACTTGCAGGAAAAGGAAAACTTACTGATCTTCAGCTACAGCAAAACACATTGACCGGGAAAATTCCATCAGAGTTGGGTCTACTCCCTTTGAATAGCCTTGTACTCGCAAACAACGAACTTTCAGGTTCGATTCCACAACAACTATTCCACCAATCTTCGCTTGAACGGCTGGAGTTGGGGAAAACAGATGTAAGTTTGTTTTTCATCATATGTTGTCGTTTCCAAATACACACACATGCATGCATACTGGTAGACGAAGCTTATGTTCTTCTTGGCACACTCTCCTACTTGCTTACAAGCTCACTGGAACACTGCCAGGCGAAATTGGAATGCTCACGAATTTGCGACACCTTGGCTTGGAAGACACACATATTTCGGGGTCCCTGCCCTCTGAGATTGGCCTGGCAAAGTTGCTTTTTGACATTGTTCTCTCCAACACCAACCTGCAAGGGACAATTCCTGATGAAGTCTACACAGGACTTGACATTCTGCAGCTTTTGGCGGTTAGCAATTGCAACTTCTCTGGTACCATCAGTTCATCCATTGGTCTGATGACAACACTAAGGGAGCTGCATCTGGCCAATAACAACTTCCATGGGACCATCCCAAATGAGATTGTGGCAGTCACAAAGCTGCGAAAACTATTGGTGGATGGGAATGAGCTCACTGGAACAGTTCCAATCTCTTTCTGCGAGAATTTCTATGCTATGGAGCGAATTTCTTATAAGGTTGTGGCAGACTGTTTGCCCATTCCCGAAACAGGAATGTCAGGAATCCAATGTGATTGCTGCACTAGCTGTTGCGACAAGACAGGAGTTTGCCTTGCCAATTAATTTGATAAATTGACTTACCATTTCTAAAAAGGAGGGTAGCTGGAGAATGATGATCAAGCGTGAGACGTTCAGAAACAATTTCCCGGGCTGCCACGCTAAGTGTGGAGGATCTCGTTTCCACGGTTGAGCACACATGTTGCGCTATGACATCATCTTAAAAGAGAGGTAAACCCTGATTCCTAACAAGCCACCACACAGCTCGAGATATCAATTCACTTGGGATCTGTTTGTAGAGCGAAATGCAGTTTACGACCGACCGTTCGCCGAAATATTATCTTCAGGTGTGTATATCGAATATAGTACATGTAAAGAGGGGAATCAATAGAACACGTGTAGTTGAGTATGCCATAAATCTCGCAGCCTCATAGTGTACTTATTCGTGGAGTTACGGGCGGTTGAAGATATCCACCCAACTGACACGAATACTTTTTCTCTGCAGTTTTTAAAAGACTGATGACGTCAGTCGTGCCTCTGGTATTGAATCTACGTAGGATCCTACGTACGCACCTCTATCGAGTGGAAACTCTGTGCGGCACCTCTATCGAGTATCTTTCGCACGAAAGATACTCTTCGCACCTCTATCGGCGCTTCGCTCCCGTAGAGGTGCGAAGCACTTGCATAAAGCACCTTTACAGTCTATCTAGAATAGAAGCACCTCTATCGAAGCACCTCCATCGATTGTCTATCGTCTAGAATATCGACACTCGTTCCTCTCAAGATGGCCGTTTCCGACAGCAGTGACGATGGCATTGACGAAGGCATTGACGACGAGGACGGAGGCATTGACGAAGAGGATTACGAAGAGGATTACGATCATGATAGGGACTTCCAGATTAAGTACGTTGATCATTACAAGCAGGTTGCCGTAGCGGACTTCTTCAAAAAGAAAGGCAGACGTGGACGGCCAAAGAAAAGAATGACGCTTGCTAGCGAGACAGTTCATGTGACGAAGAGAGGCCCTGGCCGGCCAAAGGGATCCATCAAGTTCAGGACCACCGCAGAGAAGGGCAAAGCCGGCAAGAAGAAGAAGGCACTCCCTGCGAAGAAAGCTGCTCCTGCGGCCAAGGTTGATGCGCCAAAGAGGAAGCGCATGAATTACTCTACGCCCAAGAACAGGCCTATTTTGGAAGCTGCCAAGACAGAGTGGCTGAACAGGAGTGGAAGGGCTCTGGATTCACAAGGAGAGTCAAACGTCTCTTTGGCTCAATTCGCCAAGCTAGTTGGTATCCCCTACAATACCATCAAAGCTCATGTCTGTAAAGACGAATCGAAAAGGCGAACAATTACAAACGGCCAAGGAGCACGCCCCGTAATATCCAAGCAGAATCAAATATTCGTTGACACAGTTGCGGCCAGGATGGATAGAGCCAATGACGGAGCCTCCGCTGCAGAGTGCATGGATATGATCCAAGATATTGATCCTGCGATCACTCGCAAGCAGGCTTCAGAGCATTTCCACCGTACCTTGTTGAAGTCTTATCCCAGCATCATCAAGCCGAAGACAGTTGCCGCTCAAGCCTCAACTACAAAACGAACCAACATCAATGTGCAGCAACAGTTCCGTTGGCACAAGACTGTGGATGGTGCTTTTGAAGAACTTCGAAAGAGGAACCAAGGTCGCTGCCAGCTTACTGGAAAATCCTTTGGTGAGGTAATGGACCATTTCATCACTGGGGGGGGGGGGCGAGACCTGCTTCATGGATTGCCCTGATGGCTCTACCAAGGTGGTCGGTGCTAGCTGAAGAACCAAACATGAAAAGCGCACTAGTGATAGTCAAGACTCCATTATCATGTACCGTACCGGAAGCTCTGCTGGAGAAATCGGCCCAACTGTTTTCCTTCTTAAAGGGAAACACAAGCAGGCCGGATACACGGATAAGTTCCTATAGAATCATTGTGCCAAGTTTGGTTCAACCGTGATTATGACACCGAATGCGTTCATGACTACGAAAGCCTGGGAAGATATGTCGATTCCTGTCTGCAAGGGTCTTCGGGAGATTCATCCCATTGTGGCAGCCAATCCACAGTGGTGGATGCTGGAGATATTCGATGGCTTTGGTGCTCACCTTGCGTCTTACACTGCTTTGCAAAACAAATCCGATTACAAAATATTGTCGCTTAAAGAGGAGGGTGACTCTTCTCACGTCAATCAAGCATACGATCGGCTTGTTAACAAATCAGACAAGGTAGCAAAGAACGAGTGTTTATCTCATTTGCGACGACAGGTGTTCGACAATCGTAGAGTTGTGGATCAGTGGAAAATGATTCATGTTGGACTCTACGCTGTTCGGGATACAAGCTCGTTGGCATGGAAACATTCCTTTGAAGCGGTAAACTTGAATCCGCTTTCAAGAATCCCCTTTGCTGACTGGTGTTTGAAGACCTCTGATTTCATGCAGGGCGGTGACTCCTTCAAAACCGAGGGAGCACTAGATGTTTATGCACTCTTGCCATCGTTTTGGCACGGAATGACGCCAGAAGAAAAGATGACGTCATTGGCCGTCTACAAGTCGCATGATTGTTGGTCGGTGCAATGCATCAGTGCCATTATGGAGCAGACATTCGTCCCTGCCAGTCAACTGCAGAATTTGCGAGTCTATATTGAATTGGCATTGGAAGATCCTTCACATCTCGAGAGGATGCTTCCTGCCAAGGATGCGATGGCCATGGCGGCTGTGGATCCAGAAGTTGCGTCAGCTGAAGCCAAGCGGAAGACGGCTGATGCTGGGCTGGACATGTTCCTTCTCAAGCCGAAAGCAATCTAGGGTCTTGATCTGTTCGAGCACATGTGCGAGAAGCGTGCAATGTTTGATGCCAAAATGTCACAGTCGAAGCATCTAGATGTGTCCGTATTGGTGCAGAATCGAAAGAAGCTGTCCGAAGCCGTCGAGACAATGGAGTCCAAGAGAAAGATCGTTCAAAAGAATGTGGTGGCAATGAACAAAATGAAGGCTGCCAGGAGGAGGCTGGATGGCAGTGGCAAGGTCAAGAATTACTCCGCCCTAGTCAATGATGAGAAGGCCTTGCTGAAATTGAAAAACAAGCAAGTACTCAACGATAGTTTGGCTCAGATCGACGAGCTTCACAAGAAGCAGGCAGCGGAGAAGAAGCGCAAAGCCACAGAAAGCCTCAACAGCTTGGCTCCAAAGGCAAAGGAGAAGCTCGGGCGAAAGCAGGTTGTTGCTTCCCTGACCAAGAACGAGATCGTTTCCCTGTTGACAATCTATTCCGGGTCCAAGGCAGACAGCAAATTGGCCAAGGGAACCCTGGTAATTGAATTGGAGAACATAATTGAGTCCAAGCCTGATGTGCTACAGGTACAATTGAAGCCTAAAGCAGCTCCAGTAGCTGCATTGGCTACTGGGATGCTCTAGCTTCAGCCAGGTCTTAAGCTTTATAGCCATAATAATATTATAGTCTTTTAAGGTATCAGCCCAGAATATTACAATAGTCTTAACCTGCAGTGAGTCTTAAATGCAGATCCCTCTAGTCTAGTAACGGGGTTTATAGAGTATTATAGGGAAATTATCTACGGAAGCCAATTATTTTTTTACAAAGGTAACTCTGGGCTTGAAGTGATTAAAAAACTCGTCGGCCCGAAGCAGGTGCAAGAACTGCACTGCCACCACAGCAACTCAATTACCTTCAATACAGGATCCGGGGTCGAATTTACCCTCGGGGCATGGAGAGACTCGCCGGCAGGCCCTGGATTTCTGGCGTTCACTTCGAAAGGCTTCAAGCCTTAATGGTGAACCCTCCCAGATTCCTTGCTTTGATGCATTTGACCAAAAACCAGTGAAGTTTCTAGATCTGGAAACTCCGGCTCCCTCCGAAGAGACCCTGCTGCAGAAACAGTTGCCAGCTAAGAATCCCGGTTCTCGACGAGTGAGTCTGTCGGGCGCAGCCCAACAACTATTTCCAGAGTCTCAGTCCCCCGCAGCAGGTTCCGTCTATAGCTCAACACAACATAATTGTATCACAATAATTGAACAGTTCCCAACATGTCAGCTTGTACTGAGACCAGCCCCAAGAGACAGAAAGTCTCACCTCCAGCCA